AATCCCCAGCCCGACCGAGGCGGGTCTCTGCGACCAGGCGAGGGACACAGAACGACCCCCAGTTGCCCTCCCCAGGTGCCCCCACCCCCGGTTCTACATTATCCCGAGCATCCCCCGCTGGGAAGGGGGCGGTGCTGCAGCTGCTGAGCCGGGCAGGGCTGGGATAAGGCCACTGGGATGGCAGCTGGAGGGACTGCAAGAGCCCGGCTGGAGCAGTCCTGGGAGATGCAGAACACGCTGGAAAATGCAGCCATTTTATTTCTACCCCCTTTACAAAAGTATCCCAGTTCCAACAAGGGCTGTGGCATTCCCACCACACAGCCGGGATGAGCCACCAGCTTCCTGCCAGAGGATGGGCTGGGCCCTGGGAAGGAGGAATTGTCCACAACAGAGCCTGTGAGGTGCTGGAGAGCTGAGGGGGGGAGACGGTGGGTGGGCAGGGTCCCCAGGGGAGCCATTATCCACGGAACTGAGCAAACTCCTTGCGCAGCCAGAGGGAATCCTGGTAGAACAGGGGGTCACCCAGGTGGACTGCTGTCCTCTTGTAGAAGTAGCAGTAGAGCGTGGCCGCTGTGGGAGAGACAAGAGGGTGAGGGTAGGACCCCAACATCACCCCCACGGGAGCCCCCAGAAGGGGCAGGACCCCTAGAGGGATGTAGGGTCTAGGAGCCCCTTACCCAGGCGCTGGAAAACAAAGAGGGTCTGGAGCCCTTCGGTCCAGATGAAGCGGCCGGAATCGCGCCAGCGCAGGTTCTGGTGGGAAGAACCTGGGGGTTAAACTGGGCTGCTGACCCCCCGGGGCTCTGCACAGGCCAGGGAAAGAAGAGCAGCCCCCCCACCCCAAAGGTTAAGCAGCTCAAGGGATTTAGCCAGCGAGCTGAGACCTATTCTAGCTTCAGACTCCAGATCCCTGCAAATCCCCGTCGATCCCTGCCCGGCTGACGTGGGCAGCTCCGGCCCTGCCCGCTCCAGCACACCCTGGGGACAGCAGGGAGGGGACAGACCCTCCCCTAGGGGCTGGAGGGGGTGGGCAGGGGCTGTGGGCTGCTCCTTGGAGGGGCTGGGGTGGGAGGTGGGGGGTCTTCAGGTGAGGGAGAGAAGGCAAAAGAGCCAAGACCCCTGGTGGGACTCGGAGGCTGCCAAGAAGGGGCTGCCCCCAGACTGGGAGCACTGGTGTTTGCTGGGGATTAATCCCAGGTAAAGCAGGAGCTGCTGTCACAGCCTTCCCTGGGGATTATCCCAGTGTGGGGTTCTGTGCCAGCACAGAGCTGGGTTTCCCCTGGGGAATGAGGATTTTCCAGCAGGTCACAGTCCTTAGGGAAGGGGCTGGGATGGGGCAGATCCCTCGCAGCTCATGTCAGGGTGGCACAGGGAATGGCAGAGGGGACAGCAAACTGTCCCTCCCTACCATAATCCAGACGTGGAAGGAGATGCTGAGCCCCAGGTAGGCTGCAGAGAGCAGGATGGTCCCTTTGAACTTGTTGAAGAGAAGGTTGACCAGCCCGGCCTGGAAGACGAAGGTGTTGAAGAACATGAGGAAGATGATGATGACGTTGAAGAGAATAGCAATGTCCTGGATGCTGGAGGAGGGGGAGAGAAAAAGGGGGGTGAGACCCCAGCACCTCCTTCCCCCCACACAGAACCCCCAGGCCCTGGTGCTCACATGAAGAGGACGAGCTGGACGGCGGGAGCCGTGCGGAGCAGCTCCGAGAAGGAGTTGACAAAGAGGTCGTAGAAAAGCAGGAGGAACTGCAGGAACAGCACCAGGCTGTAGTTGCTGGTCTGGAGCATCTTCCTTCTCCCAGGGTTGGAGCCCTCAGCTCCAGCATTCCCAACGGCCAAACCAGCTCATGGTGTGGAGCTGAGGGGGGCAGTGTCACTTCTCCTGACACTGGGGAGCTGGAAGGGGGAGGAATTGGAGGGTTCGGGGTTGGTCTCTCTCTCTCTTTCCTCCCAGGTCATCTCCCTTCCCAGATGTGAAGAAATACAGGGATGAGGGAGACGTGAGAGTCCCGGGGAGCAGCTGGACCAGCCTGAAAGCTGCTGCCAGCTCCCCAGGCAGTGCTGAGCAGGCCACGCTGCGGGGACAGGTCTGGGCACGCTGTGACCTGGCATTGCTCCCCTTTGCCCCACCCCAGGGCCGTGCAGCTGGGCAGAGGGAGGAAAAGGACACAGGGAGGGAGCCGTCTGTGGACAAAAGGAGGAGGCAAAGTCCTCCCTGACGGCTGCAGCCCAGCGGCCTGTGTTGCCCGTGACACAGAGGGAGGTAAGATGATGCTGGGAGGCATGAGGAGGGTCTAGGAGAATGGGGAGGGGGGGGTCTCCCATGTCTTGGAAGAAGCCTGAGGCCTTCCAGAGGGCCAGCCATGGAGGGGGGGGAGGAAACTAGGAGCAGATCCCCACC